CAAGCTTTCCACTCTGACCTCAGCCAGAGAAACTGTATTAGACTTTCGATCAGTTTTCTTTTAAAGAAAAAGATTCACAGTTAAAATTAATTAGTTGTCTATGTAATAGGATTTAAAGAGTAAAATGTACACCTAAGTCTAAAAAAAAGTTTTATTAGAAGTAGATTGTCTTGTGAACTAGGTTACTAGAACTGGTCCCTTACAGAAAGGTAATTATTTATCTTTATAAGTAAGGATATGTTCACTACTCTTCAGCAGTGTTGCAAATCAAGTCCTTTGTAAATCAAGTCCTATGCAAATCTTATTAGTGAATTTGCTGATGGGACTGTCCACATTCTCCAAGCTACAAAAGTGACAAAGTAGTACTACTCAATTTTATGAAAACAGAGTTATTTGGAAATAGCTTTGGCTTCACTCTTATTTTTGATTTCCAAAAGCAGGGCAAGGATGACATTCTGTGAAGTTTCCACAGAAAATAATTATGGTTCAACTGTGAACAACAGAAAATTCCAGGTACTATCCCATCTTCAAGGTGGTTTATTTTGAAGACTAGCTTTTCAGCAAAATTGTCAGTTTTGTAAAAATAACTACAAAATTGTAGATCTGATTTAGTAAAACCAGAAAATCCTGCCACGATAGAGGATATACATAGTGTGTTTGCACAAGAATAAAAATTTAAGTATTCCTTTATCTTAGTCTGTATACAGGTGCTTTACCAGAATACTGGAGAATGAGTAATTTATAAAGAACAGAAACTTATTTCTTACAGTTCTTAAGGCTAGAAGTCCAATATCAAGGTGGTAGCATGACATAGCAAGAGGATCACATGGTGGGAGTCCAGATGGTGGCACTCAGGCCTTCTTTACAAAGCCATTAATCCCATTATGGGAGCCCATCCTCTTGACTTCATCCAATCTTAATCACCTTCCAAAGATCCTACTTCCAAATACCACAATAAAAGAATTTAGGGAGTAAGTTTTCAAAAGATGAACTTTTGTTGGACATGTTCCTATCACAGTACCTTCACAGAGACTGTGTGGGAAAAGAAGTTTCTTTAGGTCCTAGGCTCTCAGGGTCTTACTCTAGGTACTTTGTTTTAGGTGATGCACTATAACATTCAAGGAGAAATGACACCTCCATTTAGTACTTATTGCTAAAACAATCCCTTCCTAGTCTTCTATGCATGTTTTCCTCTATGCATGCATAGCTCACTTTTAATCTTTTAGAATACATTTCTTAATTTAAAGAACTATCTCTTTGCAATGGCAATGTGTTCATCCATGGTATAAATGCAGATGTAGAAAGACGGGCAGTAAAAGCAAAGAAGTTGGAAATATTTGACCTTGTACATGGTGCTCAAGATTTATTACACATAGTGGGACTGATCTAGCTCCAGTCTCACCAACTCTGGCCTGGACAACTGCAGCCAGTTCCTGGAGGCATATTTGATGTCTCTAGACTTGATGAAATATGTTTAATAACTTTAAAGTATGATAAAAGAAATCACAACAAACATCAAAATAAGCAGTTATTGGTTTAGGAAGAAATGCCTGGGAAACAGGCCAGTGGAGTTTTGAAACCTAAATCTTGATATAAATGCATTTTTACTGTTAAGACAGGGTTTTGAAAAGCAACTGAAAGAGAAAATTTCCCCAAATAATTTTAAAATAGCAAACCTCCCTAAGTTTTGGTTACATTATTAAAAACAACAGAGAAGTATCCTAAAATTGATGCATTTTTTCTCATTTACATTTTCCAGAATCAGTATCAATAAAAGACCCTCAGCAGTTTTAACTATAAAGATTATCATAGTTACTTTCTTTTTGAGGGCTTTCATCCAAAGCTCAAACCAGTCACTACTTTATTAAATGATTATGATGTTAAGGTATTCTAAAATCAAATATTCTTTATAACCAAATAACAAATTTATTGGAAATTAGCTTTTACATGCTGTGCTCCCTTAAGTGGATAAAAGTGCATTGTGAACTTAAATTTAAGACTGACAACAACCATTAAGATTAATGGTCTATTTAATCCCTATTTTCCTCAGATGATAAGGAGGCAGAGCGAGATTAAATAACCTGCCCAAGGTTAACCAACCAACATAAAGAGAGTCAGAATTTGGGCCCAGAGTAGGTATCAGTCTAGGATTTTCACCATTTCTTTCTACTTCTAAAATAACACAGTAAGCAATGACCATGCTACTATTTGTAATACTGACCACATTATTAAGTAAAATACATTACACTGTATCAATTATGATTCTGCAGACAAAATACTATGCAAAAATACATGCACACAACCATGCCTTTAATGGGTGTTAAGGTAACACAAATAGGTTGATACAAGACATATTCAGTACCCTCTTTTTTTAAATCTAAAACAGTATTATTGTTTAAAGAAACTCAGAAGGGGTCAGTGGGACAGATAAAAGGCTACTAGGACATTTCTGGAAATAAGGTAGCATTCTTTGGAATCTGACAGTCATGGAGGCAGAAATCCTAGGTTTGAAACCTTGATCTGGTCATGTTCAAAGTTAACCTCTAACAGCCTTTGACATCTACCTATCTCACAGCTATTGTAAGCATCCAGTAAGAACATACATTTTACTCAGTACATTTTCAGTAAGAGATTGAACATTACTTAGTCAGATAAACCATAAAAGTAGTTTTTCAAAAGGTCACTGAAATGAGGGGATTCTAGAAACCACAAGAGCTTTAGCAACTTTACGAATGGAAACTGGGACTATGATTGGCTCAGTTTGGGTCATCTGCTGAAGGATGGGGGATTATGACTGCTATAGCTAGGGAAGTGAAAAATGTGACTGGCAACTCAACAGAACCATGCAGATAGCCAAATAGCAAACTACTGAAAAACAGATTACCAGAGAAATCTCCAAAATGTATCACAAACAAAAGTACTAATAAATAAAACAAGACATGAAGATGTCCCATATTCATGGCATCATTTCGAAGCATATCACACATAGAACACAGTACTAAGCTTGGAGAAAAGCTTGGGCTGTGTACACACACTATTTGGATGCAGTTTAGAAAGGGTATTATTTAGGGGTAGTGAAGTAGGCTCAGATGATGCAGAGCTTTGAATGAGAGGCGAAAAAATGAGAGACAATGCAGGTCAAAGCACAGAGGGTAACACATTCACAGTTCTATATCCAACCTGGATTAGGAGAGGGAGAAGGGTGTAGTGGGAATTAAATCAATAAATTACTTGAAATGGAAATTCAGCCAAGGCCTGAGTTTAGTATGTGACCAAGAGAATGGAAAATAGAAACAAACAAACAAACAACCATAAAATAGATGGGAGGCACTGGAAAAGTAGAACTCTCAGTATACAAGACGTGGAGTTAAAGGATATGAAGAGTTCCAAATGCAAAAATTTTCCCCACTGAAGAATTAAATAATGATGATACTTAGAACCTTTGTTAGTCAGCTTCCTGTCACTATAACAACATACCTGAAATCACTAACTTGTAGACAGGCAAGGTTTATTTTGGCTCACTCTTTTAGAGGTTCCATGATCAAATAGTCTTGCTGTTTTAGTGCTGTGGCAAGGCAGCACATCAGGGTAGGAGCATGTGGCAGAGCAAAACCACTCACCTCACATGCAGCAGAGAAAGAAAGAAGAAGATACCAGAGCCCCATAGCCCCTTCAAAAGCAAGTCCTTTAAGACCTATGGACTGCCCACAAGGCGCCACCTCTCAAAGACTACTTGGGGGACATTCAAGACCAAAACTACAGCACTGGCTGAAGTGGCAAGGGTGAGAATTGGCTTCCAAGGAGAATGATGATAAATTTGGTTTGGGGCACAGTGAGCTGGAGCAGGTGATGATGAGTTCTCAGCAGAGGATATTAGGCACACAGTTCACACAATGTCGCATCTTACTGCAAGAGAAAACTTGTGGCAGGGAAAACTCAAGTTTTTGAAATAGATAAAACTAAAAAGGTAAGCACTGTAAAAGAAAAAATTATACACTGAGTCTTGAATTCTAAGGCAAAACGGGTTAGGCCAACAGGTCTGTAAAATTTTAAAAATTTAAATTTATTAGGACTTTAGTAACACAATTACACAGAATAAAGTTTAGGAATTCATCAATGATGATCACCAATATGTGCTTTTTGTGGCTTTTAAACCGTATTTCTCATCATTCAAATTTATTCATATTATGGCTAAATTTCATACACAGCTTCACAATGTGGATCTTACAGGTCTTCCATCAGTAAAATGAATGAAAACATATCTTTCGTGAAAGGCACATAAAGAATCTAAACTACACTTAAGGAATTTTGATAGCCTAGAACTTCCTTACATTACAAAGAAGAAAAAAATCTCTCCTGAATAAAACAGATATGCAAGTAGTTTATGGTTACCCATATCCACACATATGCACAATACATCAATAAACATACTTTAACAAAATGATGACACATGACCAAACTCAGAAACTACTTACTAGCGAAACTTACTGAAAGACTTAGTTTTTCAGGATGAGTTAAAAACAACAAAAAAAAAAACCCAGGGAAATGGGGTAGGCAATGCTATTCATTTTGCTGAAACAAGGTCACAGACACACTGTAAATAATCAAAAGAAAAATGATTCTGCCAAATTTCAACATCTAGCTGTTATGTAATACTTACTTGAGTATACATATAATCACTGATTTTGTTAAATACTATTACTCATTTTCTAAGTGTAATTGTCCATTTAATTCTCAAGAATAATAGCATAATTTAAAAAAGAATAAAAATTAAGTTGAGAAGACTAAGATAGTATATCCTCAAAATACTGAAATTTTAGTTTTCCAGCCAAATCTAATGTAGAATCAGAGCAGCATGCACTCTCTAAAAGAAACATTAAAATCCATACAATGCTTAAATAATTGATTCAAAGGCAAGTATACTCAACCGCTTTAAGAACGTTTCAATAAAACATAGTAAAGAACAAATCATGTTATTAAAATAGTCTGTGCAATGTTTGTACAAATAACATTTTTATGAATACAAGTGTACATATAATCAAGGACAGGGCTATGACATTTCCTAATATTAATTTCTATACCTAAAAATTTACAGGACATGAACATAAATAAAGCTGTTTAAAACTGCCAAACACAGTAAATAATCTGTCATTTAGTACAAGATACTTAATATTTATGTTATTTCCAAAGCCATCACACTAGAATTGTAAATTGCCACTCTTAAAACCTAAAAGAAATATGGAAAATTAAAGTTATAAATACATTATACATACATTTGGATATTTACACTTACACAGAAATCATCAATACACTAGAGCCCAGCCTTAACACTGTCCTTCACTTTCACACTGCAGGACCACCTTTAAGCTTTAAGAAAGGTCCTTGTATCACTTTCAGTTAAAGACACAAAAGAGAACAACTTTGGTCAGGTCCACGATGCATTTGCTATACTACATTCTGTGTCACTGCACGACTCTAGTCTAGAGAGATCCATATATAAGTATTCATTTGGTTTGAAAATGCATTTTATCATTAACTGCAAAACTTAGAAGAGACCACAATCTTTTAGATTATTTTTTATGATGACATCTGTTACAGCATCAAAAACAAACTGCACATTCTTAGTATCTGTGGCACATGTGAAGTGGGTGTATATTTCCTTTGTGTCCTTTCTTTTATTGAGGTCTTCAAACTGACACTGAATATATGCAGCTGCCTCTTCATATGTATTTGATCCTGAGATGGGAAAAGGAAAGAAACACAATCCAAACAAATTAAAATATGTATACTGCTTAGCAAAATAGACTTACAAATACTGAAGTCAGTTTCATGCATCAAGTAAACTATGTAGACTCCATAACTGTATTTTTCCCTTCTAGAATCAATTTCTTCTAAATGAAAAAAAAAAACCTGTATTAATTACTTTTTAAAACTAGAAATTTCTTTAAAATTAAAACTCCTTTGTTGTGGTATTCCATGTTAGCCCTGGCCTTTGTTCCTGCCTAAATCTCAAGTGTCAGATCTCTTTTTCGTAACTGATACTCTATCTACATATCAACATTTAAGTACTCCGTTGCCTGATTGTGGCATGCTATTACAGTTCTGCCCAGTGGTGGATCAGTAACACTGGCTAAAGGCTGATGAGTATTTTTTTTTTAATTACCTTTCCTATTTACACATTAATCACCATTTCATGCTCATTTTCTTATTAAAAATTTTATAACGATCTACAATGTGGTTTCATGGTATGAGATTACAAACAAAGCAAATGACACATTCCTGTTTTCAGGTAACTAAGGACTTCCTTTGACCACAAAGACTTTAGAAATTGTTTGGCAGTACCTAAAGAAAGTCACACATGAACTTTGACCCAGCAATTTAGTTTTTAGAACTACATGCATATAGTCACTGACAATATGCAGCTGCCTCTTCATATGTGTTTGATTCCAAGATGAGAAAAGCAAAGGAATATATGAAGAATGCTAAAGGTAGTTACTTTAGGAACTAACCTAAAAGTTTATCAAAATTGCATCTGCTCAATAAATTCTGGTATATTTATATAATTAGTCACCATAAAGAAATGAGCAGAAAAGTACTATTGCTACACACGGTTACATGGATGCATCTCATTAACATTCTGCTAAACAAAAGCAGACACAAAACAGTAGACACTGTGTGATCCAAATGATGTTTGAAAACAATCAAATGAACAGATGAGGACAAAAGTCAAGTAAATGATTCTTTGTTCGATTAGTTAAGATTGAAAGGAGACATGAAAGGGCTTCTGGGAGTTAGAAAGGTGAATATGGTTGATACATTCTCTATACAAGAATGAATATAGAATTTTTAAACCTGTTGAAGCCACCATAAAAGGGGGACTAAGGTAGAAAGAAGAAAAACAAAGGAGATGAACCAATTTGGGTTATAATATATACATATATGGAAATGATACAAGGAAATTCCCTGTGTAGTTATCTTAAACAAATAAAAATGTCATTTTTTTTTTTCATTTACAAAATTGGAGAACAGGAGGGTGGAACAGTTCCTCTCTGGGGAGGCTGGTACCAGTGTGATGGGGGAGAAGGTGGAGAAAGGGTGTAAGAGTGAAAATATAGTGCAAATACTGTGTACACATGTATGTAAATGAAAAAATGAGACCTGCTGAAACTATTCCAGGATGGAGGGGGAGGGATAAAGGAGAATGATGGAGAGGGTGAATTCAAGTATGATATATTGTAAGAACTTTAGTAAATTTCACAATGTACCCCCCCCAACACAACAATAAAAACAAAAGGGCTTCGGGGGTTCAGGAAATATTCTATTTCTTGATCTGAGTAGTGTATATTACTTTTCCACTTTTCATTTTTTGTGTTAACCTTTAAAAAAATCAATACTTCACACTTAGCTAACTGTGTGTATGGATATATTTGTGTATATAATAATAATAATGTGACAAAATACATTAATATAACAGTGTATCAAATGCTTCAATAAAATGTTCACCTGAAAAAAATTGTTTAAATCCCTCTTTTGTAATAATACAAAATTATCTGTCTGGCATTCAAAGTCTTCTGCTACCCAGTCTGCTCTGGAATGATTGGAGATGCTCTATTTCACATTTGGTGTTTGCGTAATGTACAAACTGCCCCTGTGTTCTGTAGTACTACCTGACCCACTTTCATATTTGCTCAAAATTGGCTCCAGATGGGTTCTATGTTACTTAAGAATTGCTATAGACTACAGAACACTCTACTTCAGTTTTTGTTACACTATCTCAAAAGTATTTTCAGCATAAAATCTCCTAAATGAGAATGTAACTTCAAGGAAAAACAACATATCCTATAGACCTTGAACCCCCTTTTGTGTTGCACTTAATATTCACAATATCATAGTAAAATGAAACATGACAGAGGCCCACAGGAATGTCATGTTAAAAGTACTTTGACAACATAAACAATGGAACTCCTATGTAAGGGACAAAAAGGTAAGAAAACTATAGCCCTTGCCAGCAGATAACCATATACTCTTACAAATCAAAATTTGTTTTATTAAATCATAATAAGGTTTGTGCTCCAAAATTCTGAAGCAATAAACAGTGTTTATTGGCCCAAGGAAGCTAAGGCAATCCTCTTAATTAAAAATATGTTTGGGGAAAATGGCTTACACTGATTACATAGCTCACTTGGTATGTATTTGCTGGGTAGCTAAAAAGCTACATACACCTCAAGAGCCACCACATATTCGAATGAACTAATGAATATATTCTTCAATCTGTTTTTAAATCTTAAGCAAAGAATAGCAAAGTGTGTGTTTGTGGGGAGGCTTAATGTGATGGAATTGGCTCAAGTGGTAGGGTATCTGCCTAGCAAGTGCAAGGCCCTGAGTTCAAACACTGAGAGCTGGGGTTGAAACAAGAGCAAATGAATCAATACTTATGCCAGGCAGTTCAGATTTTAAATTATAATCTTAACAATGGGAATATGAAAGAATTATGTAACATTCTTTTCTGTACAAAGATTCCAAGATCAGGGATTCTTACTAACTTGACAACATAAGCAAAGGATTTTTAACACATTATATACCTAACAAGGGAAAGGCTAACAATTATATTCTTGTTTGCTCTTAAATCCCTATAGGTATGTATTATTTATGAATTCATTTGGTGTGATAAACGAGAACATAATGGTTCTTTTGAATATGGTGTGTTTGGATACTATGACTTTCCAAAAGAAAGCAAAGGTTTTTGAATCACTGTGTGAACTTATTTTGAACTTAGGTATAACTCCACAGTATCCAAAAAGGTTATCATAATTCGCATGATTTATCAAAGAATATTTCCACTTTAGTTACAATGCGAATTTAACTAATGCATCTTAGTCGTTAAAGGTCTGGGTGGGAGTGCAGTGGACTTGGGTCTGGAATTGGACTCTGTGACTTCATTAAGCTCATATTCTCACCTGTCTAGTGGGGATACAGAAGTGCTGACAGCACAGACCTGTCTAACATCACCTGTGAAATGGCAGTAGTCATGGTACAACTCACTCAATACCATACTGACTAAAAGTTTGTTTATAACAAAACAAATTCTTAGGAGTTTTTTCTTTTTAAACAGGAAGGATGAGGTAAGGGTAAGAACTAAATAAAATCTTTGGAATATTTAGATTTTAGATCTAAATCATACAAATAAGTGATAACCACACTTTTTTTTTTAAGGCACAGAGTGCTCTTCACTAAAATAAAATCTTATTTAGAAACCCAAGGTATAAAACAGATGAAAACTGAGTTAGTCTGCTTTAACGTGAGAGGAGCTGCAAGGTGTGTGTGCATGTAAGGGGCCTACCCAGCTCTGCTACCAGCACTTACTTTCCATAGCCTGGGAGGCGCTCTGAGAAACTAAACTAGATCAAAGCCAATGTTTTAGCCCAATTCCTGACTTTACAGATAGGATACTGAAACCTAGGGAAATTAACTGCCTCGGTCAAGATCAAAGAGCCAATTCTGTAAAAGCTAGGACTATATATCAAGTCTGTTTTCCTCACTCTAGTACACTTTCCATAGTTAACAGAAGTAAAGTCCATTAACATCGTCATTATTGAAGGTTTAGATTTCTTATGAAACCTTCCCTGACACTCCAGAGGAATTACCTGCCTCACGATGAATCTTCTTTTTTCCCCTTATAATAACGTTCATGTTCCCTCTTGGTAGCATGCAGCACTGCTACTGTTTGCTGTCTGCTTATCAGCATGTCTGTCTTTGAGATCAGACAGGGAGCAGAGACAGTGTTTGTCACGCACCACATGACACCTGACATGGGATCTATGACTGGATGAACAAACCAGTGTTCTAAATTTATGAAGAACTGGAGTCATCACTGGAAATTATCTAATTGCTTTTCCATAAAATGCACATGGTATTTTCAGTAATCTCATCTACATCTTAAGGAAGTATTTGTGCTCAAATTCAGTTTGATAAATACTATCCTTTCACGGTTCAAAAGTTACTAAGCCAAGAGATTCAAACTAACAACTGAAATCTTGCTTTAGGGAAAGGTTCACTTAGAAATACCTCCTTTGATAAGTTACTCAGAGAAAGCAAAATACCTGCATATTCTGGATAGCAAATAGTGAGAGGGCTCTTTTTGATTTTTTCTTCGAAGAGATCCTTCTTGTTTAGAAAAAGTATAATAGATGTATCTGTAAACCATTTGTTGTTACATATGCTGTCGAACAATTTCATGCTTTCATGCATTCGATTCTGTAATAGAAAACAGAAACAAGTTCTCACTAATAACAAGGATTTTGAGGAATATTTTTTTAAATGGAAAAAGTTGCAGTAGGACAGTTGTTAGTCAGTTGAAAAGCAAGTAACATTCTAAAGGAGGACCCTGTTATGATACTAACCAACTCCATTTTTGTCTCTAAGCTGTTCTCTCTGAGTCCTTCCAGTTTATCCCAAATTCAAGGAAGAATGAGTGCTGCAGGCTTACACCCTATGACAGAACAGAGGCCCACCCACCAATAGGGAATAATTATCTCATAATGGGAACCAAATTATTTCCCATGCAATACAATTGCCTGACAGCCAGCAGCACCCCACAGAACCAACCAAAGAAAATGATCAACCAGAGCACAGTTAGACCAAGATTGTTAAGACTACACATGCTTCTTTCCCTCTTCTTGTGTACTTCTCATATTTTATCCCAGAGTTCTTCTCAGTATCCCAAAGATAGCTTAGGATGCTAGTGCCCCTGTTCTTCCCAGTATGGCCACTAAATAAATTCCTTTCCTACTTCACCATTACTAGCTACTCTCTGACTGGACTCTCGAGGTGGCAGGTACCACATTTGGTATGTTGGGACCCCTAGTCACTCTCCTGACCTAGGATTGCAGTTAACAATTCCACAAAAATATATTCTGCCACTTCGAAATAGCACACTTTGATTTTGGCAAGGTAAGTATACCATCATCACTTATCATTTCATTTATGTCATCATTACTTCTCATTGCCCACTATGTATCAAGCTCTGTGCCAGGAAACCACCTGATGCCTGATGTTATAAACTGGGGATCCCAAGCAAGAACACTTGAAGAAACATGCCATTGCTATGAAGGTCATCTAAGTTTTCATTAGGAGATAACTTATTTATACCTACTGTACTACAACTATATATACTTGATTTTAAAATACTGACATTTTAACCTGTTCTTTTAAGTACTGATTAAAGTTAATTTCAAATGGAAGAATTTTAACTTTATAATAAAAATATTTCCCCCAGATTAATGGTACATTGAAACATAACTGAAAATAAAACAGAAGTAACAAAGTATAACATGTATCAAAGACTACTAAACTGACAGAAACAATAAGTGAAGAAAAATGAGTCTTGGTCTACTATGGAATTAACTTTACTGTCATGTAGCATGTAAATATCAGATATAGGAAATTCACAGTTAACTGTATAGGGTTGAAGTTGAGACTGATTTTCAATCTTTTCCTTTTCCTCAAGATGCATCTGGGCTGCTATAGCAAAACACAAACAGAAAAGCTGAAGCAAAGAGCCTGAACTTTCAAATAATTCAAGCATAAGCAACAATTTCTCAAGAATTTTTCTGGGAAAAGTTCTTGGCAACATTTCACACAACCCTTAGAAGTTTACTTTTTTTTTTTTTGTTTTTTTTTTTTTTTGGCAATCATGGGGTTTGAACTCAGAGCTTCCAGCTAGAAGTAGTTCTGCTTACCATTTCTTCATCTTCAGCTAGAACTAGGTCATAGTCACTCAGTGCCACACAGAAGATGATGGCGGTCACTCCCTCGAAGCAATGAATCCACTTCTTCCGCTCAGACCTCTGACCTCCCACATCAAACATTCTGTAAGAGGAAAATTCATGAGTTGACATCACATTAAATGTTCAAAAGCTCTGAGGAGCTCTGTAATGCTGACAAAAAAACAAAAACAAAAAAAACCTCCAAATAGCTGGGAGCATGTAGGATGACTTTGTGGGAGGAAAACAATGTCACAAATTGGTATTCTCAAGGGGGAAAAGTCTGCTCTGTGTTTTTATTTTTAATTGCAGGGAAAGTACCTCTAAAGTAAAAACAAAAATGTCCTAAAAAATTACGACATTCATGTGGGAACATGTGGAAACACTTAGAACATTAAAGCAAATATAAATTAATGGACTGCACCCCCTATAAACACTGAGAGTCCCATAAAGCAACGGGGAATGCAGAGATCAAAGAACACGATTCAATTTACCAGTCACAGAACATTACGGGCAAAGAAATGGCTGCCCTTTCCCTATTGAGAAGTGACTTCTCTCAGAGGCAATAAGTTAGACTTTGGTGTAAAGGAGAAACAATTCCAGGTAAGAGAACGCCGGGAAGGCAAACCAAACTCAGAAAGGGGCAGACAGTTTTGCCTAGATTATAAAGTAAAAAAATGGTATGAACAAAAATGAGAACTGAAACATGAGGTAAATGGTGGCCCTACTGAATAGCTTTGGAATTTAGAGTGAAAAATACCTCAATTTTTAAACCAGATACAAAATCAAACCGTTGTAGGTTAGGGCAATGTTATCAAACAATGTAATGACAATGGCCCTTTCCTCTTTTTCCTGGGAAGACTTTCTAAAGTTAGGCAAAAGTTTAAATTTGCATAAACTACATTATGCAACCTAGAAATAACCACTTATATAACAGAAGCACTATGCAAACTAGTACATTTTTAAAGGTTCCATTTATCTAGAGGTGCACTAATTAAAACAGTCCCTATTTAATTTACAGGCAAAGAGAATTTTCCCTACAGAGCAATATTGGCCTATAAACTAAACCTGAGTACATCAACTAGTATTGTTATTTTTATCATCATTTAGGCAGCCTCCATGTTGGTTTAGCTAGAAATTGTTTACTAAAGCATGCCATATAATAAAACGATTCCATCACATAATAAATTAGAATGAGTGAGATACAAAAAGGGTAGAATACAAAGTAGATACAAAAAGATGGTACTGGAGACCAAACAAGAACAAAGTAAAAGATAAAATAAACTGACTTTAATTAGGTAACTATTTGATAAACTGCCTAGGAATATATAGCGACCAAGTAACATATTACAGATAACTTTTCTGACCAAATGTCACATATTCCCTGTCCACTCAATATAAAGCAGCAACACAACCCAACTCTTCCCACATTTTCTCTATGTGATGTTTACTTTCATGTGTCAACTCAATTATTTAATCAAACACCAATTAGATGCTTCTGCATTACAGATATGGTTACATCTACAACTGGCTGACTTCAAGTAATAAGGATTGTCTTAAATAATGTGGAGAGGTTTCATCCAACCAGTTAAAAGGTCTTCAGAGCAAAAATTGAGGTTTCTCAGAATTTAATATAATTCTTCCTCAAGTATGCACAACAGCTTGTGTCTAAGCATGAAGGCCTGCCCTACAATCTTCAGATCTGTCAACCTCCATAATCCCATAAGTCAAGTTCTTCAAATAAACACAACCTAATTTTTCTGTTTCTCTGGAAAATACAAATGATAGAACAGGGAGAGCAGTGCTACTGAAAGAAATATCTAAAATTGTGAAAGTGACTTTGAAATTGAGTAGTTGGAAGAATCTTGAAGCATTTCACAGAAAAAAATACCTAGAGTATCTTGAAGAAAAGGTTGGGAGAAATACAGATATAAAAGTTGATCCTGGTATAAGCTCAGATGAGTGAGGAGCACAGTAGAAAAGTTTCTATCGCTTCAGAGAGACTATTATCATGAACAGAGTATCTGTTAATATGTGAATGAGTAGAGACACTGTTAACAAGCACTCAAAAGGAAATGAAAAGCATGTATCACACACCACAAGAAAGGCAATCCTTGTTTTAAAATAGCAAGCAATCAGCTGAATTGCCTTTTATTTTGGGGTGGAAGGTAGAACTTGGATATTTAGCTGAAAAATTTGCAGTGTGGACGGATGTGGTCCTTGGGTCTCCTTGCTGCTTACAGTAAAATGAGAGCAGAAAGGTAAACCGAGGATTGAACTGCCAAGCAGCAAGGAACCCACCCTACCCATGCACAGATGAAAGATGGACATGTGACGACCGAGGCTGACACTGGCATGATACAGCTACGAGCTGGTGTATGTTATGAATTGCCAGCAACCACCAGAAGCTGCAAGGGAGATAAGGGAGAGTCTCCCTCAGAGCCCTCAGAAGGAGCACGGCCTTTGTAGCATACTGATTTCAGGTTTTTAACCTCCAAAACTATGATGTGATAAATTCTACCATTTGTTATGGCAGTCCTAGAAAATGAATACATTTTCTTATTGTGCAGGTACTTCTTTACCATAAATTCTACTTTTCTCTACAGCAATTACCATCTCCTAAACATCAAATACTTGTTTCTTTTCATTGCCACTTCCTTATCCCAATTCCACTATAAGAATGTAAAAACAAAGACTTTTATGTCCCCAACATTGGACACAAAGTACTTCAAAGATATTTACTGACTGAATGAATGAACTGTGCCTAGTGAATATTTTAAAAAACTTTCGAGAAATAACAGACTAACTTTGTTATGTGCAAGGTCCAGATCTGCAAGTTATGGTGTAGGAATGTTAAATCTCAAAGAGCTTCAATTATAATGAGGTTATTAAATAACTTGGCTAGAGGAAATCTCTTCAATTTATTTAATTTATAAACTATTAATGAATGATGTTTCATATGTTGGTAATAAACAAAGAACTTTTAGCTTAAGCCAGTAAGTAGTTCTCAAACTTTTGTGGTGAATCAGAATCAACAGGTGGGATATCGCCTGGATAAACCCAAAGTATGGAGCATTATTTATTGCTCCACATATACAATAGAATTATCTTATTTAATATGCTACTCTTTCAATTTTGAATTACTATTTTAAAGAAACAAAACAAATACATATTCCGTTCCCCTGTATATAAAAGTAAGGTTTTTGGATAGCATCAAGCAATAAATGAATTTGAGTTTTCTTAGGTGTTTTTTGGAGGGTGGAGATGAAAGGGATGTTGGATATCCAAGACGTTGTGAGGTATCCTTGGATTGTCATCTAATACTACTGTGGCCAAGATTGACTACTACAAAGCTAGTTGACCATTTATGGATATCAAACTCTAAGTAGGACAGTATATCCCAAAATCTATTACAAACTTATACTACTATGGAAAAACAGTAGAAATTTGTTTTATATTATGCTAATTTTATAACAGGAGGGATAATAAAGAAAACCAGCGATTCTTAAAGTAAATCACAGACAATGGCCAGGAATGTCTATTCACACAGATGATAATATGAATTCTTAAATTATAATAAATGCTCTATTGCCTCATTTTGTATTTGTTAATCCAACCATACAAAAAACGTGAAACATTTTATTTAGCAGTTAAACTGAGACAAGAAATTACAACATTAAGTATATACAGAACTACAAAGCAATGACAACATTCAAGGGTTCCCAGCAGAACTATTGTAAATACATTTCTGCCTTAATTTAAAGCTCATTTAACATATAAAAAGCAAAGTTGGAACCAGACACTAGCAATGACCCAAACACTGTATGCACAAATAAATAAAAGAAAATAAATAAACTTAATGAAATACCTAAAAAAAAAAAAAAAAAAAAAAAACAAGCTCAAATCTAAAATAAAGATAGTTTATGTGAAGTTCTAGAAAAACTTGTGGTCACCTTTTAAATCAGAAAATCAGAACAGTAATGAAATACATTCTGTAATATGTACCTCACTGAAGGAGTCTAAATGGAGTGTGGTAAGTGCGCATCATGGAAGGATCACGGATCAATGTTTTAAGACTGAAATCTACTCAGGACTAAAAGTGACTTCATACAGTCAGACTGTCTTAAGTACCAAATAATTCATTTAACATATGCCTTTGCTATTTTTCACCTTTTATGGAGTTTTCACCTTTGCAATGTTTTTAATAGGCAATAATTCATTTTATAATTAAGTGTTTGATCAAGGAGAAGACTGTTAATAGTCTCTCTGTTGGGACTCTTAATGGAGTTTGCCCAGCTACTTAACAGGGGAAAGCAGAATCCTTAGTTACTAACCCCAACTTTATATATTTTCTCCTTGACTTCTTGCCAGAAATATGCCATTACCTGAGTTGAGCATAACTATTTAAGTTTTCTTTACAACATGGTCATTAAAACAAGTAAATAAAACACACAAAAAACTAGAATCTAAGGTGCACTAAAATTAAAAAACAAATTTTAAATCCTCATTCCAACAATGAGGTTCCTTACCATTAAAAATAATTTAATAGCTTTAAGATAACTATGATAATAGTCCCCAGATGATATAACACAGTCATTTAATATTACAGAAGTACAACAAGCAGAATAAAAGGTAAATGATTCATTAAGAGAGAAAGCGAGGAGCAAAATATATCCAGAGAGCTCAAAAAACAATGAAAATAAAAAAGCAAAAACATACACAAAATACAAAGTTAATATTGTCAGATAAACTAATTATGATCTGTGTCTTCATTTACGGTGGCATGACAATGTTAGGAAGGGGCCACGGAAAACTGAAATTGAACTTTTGTTTTCTGGGAAACTCGATTAGGTGAATCACTGATAAATCAGTGATAAATGTCAGTAATGAAAGTATTATATTTAAAATACTCAGAAATATAATTGTATATATTTAACTTTGCTTTCGATATGTCACAGTGAGCTTTTTTTAGGAACTGAACTAATAATTATTTGTTTTTTACCTGACTAGGAACCTTCTTTTAAGATGCTTTTAAGCAATTCTACTTTATTACTTTAGACCCCAGGAAGTTCACAGTCAGTACACTCTAAGTAAACATTTCTTGTTTAAAATGGTACAACCATCAGCTCACTATAAATGCACATTTTCACAAAACTTAAAATGTATTCTTCTTTTTAAACATTTCCATGTATAACCATATATTCTTAAGTAAAACTCTCTTTTTAACCTATAGATAGGTAGCAATACTCTATGGTACATCAGAGCAGCATTTTCTGTTCAGAAATAAAAGCTGGCAAACTATTTTCATTTGAATGACTATAAAAGTATAGGCCAAAGGCACTTGGTGGGCTAATTTTTTGTTAAAAGATTTAAAATATTCTTCCTAATAATGCTTTTCTTTTTGCCCCGAAGTTATTTTGTATACTCATCTGAGAAATGTTTTTCCAACTCTAAAACTGTTGTAACCTTCTATTCTTATACCTTTGATTTCTAATGTCTTTTATACACAAATTTATAAATCATATGTCTGGAAGCTACTCACTTAAAATGAAGATCTTTGAAAGTGAAATGGGTTTCAACAATTCCTGTAGTTTTCACTCGAGTTCTCAGCACATCTTGCTGAGTTGGGATATAATTGGATTGTGCTATTCTGTCCAAGTCATTCAAGTAGCTGAAAAAACAGCAGAACAACAAGTTAACAGTAAGTATAACTAATACAGATCATCTAAACAAAGACTAAAACAGTTTTCAGTGAATCCAATATTCTGAATTCACTGCAAGTTTTCAAGTTTCTGTATACTGTTATAAAACAACCAATAAAAACTTAGATGTGAATTCCTACTGAAATGAATTTCACTTCAGTATTTTTTAAATGTGAACTTTGTTTGTAGACATAGCAGTTCATAGGTGCACACCTGTGACCTCAGTTATGCAGAAGGTGTAGGTAAGAGGGCTGCGGTCCAAGACCAGTCCCATACTAGCATGAGACCCTATCGAAAAAATAACCAAAGCAAAAAAGGGCTGGGGCTGAGACTCAAGTGGTAAAGTACTTACCTAGCAAGCAAGAAGCCCTGAGTTTAAAACCTGGTACCTCTAAACAAGAAAATTCTTTATTATAATATTTTGATGTAACACTGTGCTCATGTTGTACTTTTTCTTGGTGAATTTATAAGTCTTTTTTAGAGGAAGAGCAAGGAAGCCTCAGGCAAAGGCTGAATGTGAAGTCTTTTCTTCTGAGTTTTATGTCATACACAGGAAAACAAAGCATGCTCCTGTGTTCTATCTTTTACAACTCTCTAAGTCAATGTCTATATTTTACTTACCCCATTGACATATTTAGCCACTGAGCTAATACTCCCTGCCAAAGACACCAAATATGTTGTGACATAAAAATGCAGTGTTATCACACCGTGCATTGTAAGAAAGGAAATTATTTTGTGTCTGACTGCAGAAGTAATAATTTAAAGAAAGTCCAGTAAGGAGAGATAAATGTGAACCTGGGTGATTAAAGGAGGATTCATGGATACTGACAGGTGTAAATGGAAATATGAATAATGGGACAGAAAACAGGGAATGCCATTCCCATCAGAAGCTGTAAAACAGCGTGGAAACTAAGCCCAATAAGATACATTTAACCTTACATGAGGAGAAGCTCGCAATGAGTCTGAGGTCAGCTGAACATGGGAAAGGAGTACCATTGCAGTGTTCTGTACTAGAGAACAATAAATTAGGTACAGAGGGGGAGAGCTTATTGTTAGAAAATTCTGGTTTAACAAACAAAATAAAACATAGCAATATTTTACTAACTGACCCATTAAAATAGTGAGTTATTTTTATTTAAAATGTGCTGATTACTCATAAAGATATTTTTGATTAAAACTGCTATAGTTCTAATTGTCTAAAAATAATATGCACTTATATTTCAATAAGACTGAAAAGAGAAACAGGCATTGTGGAAAACTCACATTGTTTTAAGTGATCACAAGTTTAAACTGCAAATGGCAGCAGGCCTAAACAGCAAGCTGACGAGATCCCATGGCTTCAGGTAAAGAACTCAGAAATCAAGACGCCCTTTAAATACTGTGCAGAAAAAGGTTTCCACGACTTCCTTCATTCTTGAAAACTGAGTGAATTATTGTCACTTTAAGGTCAGAAATACTCAAAATGAAATAATGGGAATCCAAAGCAACACACTTCTCTCAATACATGCCCATGCTGTTTACACAGTTTGTTGACCAAGGAAGAGATGGCCTTCCATCTGGAAGTAGCCCCAAAGGATGAGGACTTTGGTCTACTGTCCCCAGCAGTGCTCCTCAATTACTGAAGCAGCTCCTTTTGCTGGGCTTAGCAAAATAGTGATTCCTATTTAAATCTTTCTTCAGGAGCTGCTGGTGGTAAAGCAAATAATATGGTTTTGGGGTTGTGTTTTTCTTCTGTTTAATTTTTCCTGATTTGTGTTATTAATTCATTTATTATTAAACAAGATCACAATGGGTAACTATGGTTATACAACATTAGGCAAAAGTAGACATTATTGAATTTACAATGTAGTGACAGAGAGAAAATAATCAAATAGTTGTAACATAAAAATAAATCAAATACCCTCAAAATAAATGTAAATCTGAAGGAAAGTACATAGCATGTGTACCTAAAACAGAAAAGGACTTACTCAGTGGACAAAGGATATTTCCTTGGAAGCAATGATACCAGTTGTACAATAGGCTAATGTTTAATAAGAATATGCTACATATGCATTTGTAAATCCTATTAAATAACAATATATATTTACAGAAGTATAAAACACAGATTAAGGAATATAGAATTATAAAGATTGCTGTCGGTGATACGATGATGTACAGTATTGATTCACACTAAATCACACAACACACAGAGCATACTCAGATGTTCAAACTGATGCATGAAAAAATACCTAGGTCCATAACCCGTTTGTTTGCAGCAAGGTGCATGTATTTACCAAGACCTTCCAATACCTGTCATCTTTTTTTTTTTTGGCGCACTGGGTTTGACCTCAGGGCCTCACACTTGCTAGGTAGGTGTTCTTACCACTTGAGGCACTCCACCAGCCCCTGTCATCTTTTATCTTATACTTATTTTTCTCCCCATGGGTCAATACCTCTCTCAACAAAACAGTGCAATCTTGGAAGGCAAGGAAGAGTACACAACACACATTTTAAATAGAATTAACGCTACACAAATAGCAACTGAATTTTGACCACATGTGCCAAACTATGGAAACAAATAGTTGAGGTTGTTTTAAGACAGACATGTAGCCCACCAGGCTGGACTGGAACTCATGATCCATCCACTGAGATTACACATGTGTACCACCATACCCGGCTTTGAAGTTTTTTTGTTTTTTATTTGTTTGTTTTAAATTCTTTGTAGATCACCAAATAGAAAACTGGTTGGATTTCATTATAACCTACTTTGCATACTTTCTGGGATCACTACCTGGACTATCAGGGCAGATTTTTCTTACAAAGACCTGTATTTAAATATCAGTAAACAGAGTCTAACACCACAAGGAACAAACAACTGACAATTTTCAAGTGTAGAGCTATTTTATTTTGTGAGAAAATATCTTGGGATCACCATGCATCACTTCTAAAGGTCCCCACTTAAGGGGTGTGTCACTGAACAAGGAACTCTTTTTAGACGCCATCAGTATAATGAAAAGAATTCAAATCAGTTACCCTCTTGTTTAGCTAGCTCCAAGTCAACTAGAGATATACTCAAATTCACAGAGAATTTTTGGAAGTTCCAGTTACTTTCTTGGAAATATACTGGAAACATTCCATCCTGCCTGTTCCAATTAAGAGTTTACATAAGCCTGGGTCTCTTGAGACACTATTGAACACTCAGGAAATAGTACCAAGGCTATTTACAAACACACAAAAAAGACCAAGAAAGTTCTCAAATGTTGTTAACCTGAATATTCTAAGTTGTATTGGAATATGTCAGTAATAAAACTGACTTGGACAGGACAGTTTGGTTCTGAAGTTGTGATCACTTACTATGCTGCAGAATCATTAAGCTGGTACTCTCGGGATCTGTTGAAACAAGCTTGCACACCACTATCTTTCCACAATCTCTTTATAACTCCAGCAAGTTCTGCAGTCATAAAGCCTTCTTCTGCAGCTCCAGCAAGTACAAAGAGTTGGCGGGCATCATCCTGAATGGTCCACAACCAGTATTATAGAGAGGAGAAAAGAAGACATTAGAGATTTTTTAAAAAGCAGAAAAGGAGACATTAGAGGTAAAAAATACATAACAGTGAATTTCCTTTATGATTTTATAGTTTTTCTTTCTCTAAAACACCCCTGAAAACTTGGCTTAGCCAAAAGTACATAATCATAAATCACAAGCCTAGGCTTTGTGTGATTAGTGATTAGCAGTATCCATCATGATACCAGAAAGCTGGAAGAATGCCTAAAATTACAGCACCTGCTAACCGGCTGTTGCACAGTGAAAATGATTATTTTTGAGAAAGCAGGGAAAGAACTTATATTTGGCTTCTTCCTCCTCAAAATGTTTTCCATCTAAGGAACATAAAACATCATTAGAGATAACCTAATATTAGAATCTAATTGTTAGCTTTCTAATATTCTTCATAGATGTAAAGTATGTACAGAGAAGTGACAATCAATATGGAGTAGGGAAGAATAGTTTCATGTACTGGTTTTAAATTCTTTAGAGACTTTAGGAAGTAAAATCAGTAAAGAAGCAGCTGGAGCCAGGTAGAGAGAACAAAGTAAGCACAGCTTTGGAACACACATATACATAGAAGATACAACACGTACATTTTTTGGCGGTACTGGGATTTGAACGCAAGGCCTCATACTTACTAGGCAGGCAGTCTACCACCTGAGGCACTCCCCAGCCCAGGATGCAAAATTTTTTAAAGAATGCTATGAATACAGTTAATTCAATAAGTGTTGAGACAGAATGGCATTCAGCTATTCTGATCCACAACTAATCAACTACTCTCCATCAATGCTGTCAAAGAGAAACAGGACATTAAGCCACATAATGCAATCTAAATTTTCTAACAGCAACATTAGAAAACAAAAAACAAAAAAGCAAAGTGAAACTAACTGGAATAATATATTTGATTTAACCCATATACAAAATACTACCATTGCAACATGTAATTAACATAAAACTTTTATGTGAGATATTTCTTACTTGTTATATATATTAAGTCTTCAAAACCTGGTGCACAGTTTATACATATTTCAAAGTCATATGTGGGTAGTAGCTACCATACTTGATAACATAACTCTACAGCATCCAGGTAATTTTTTGGTTAATCAAAAAAAAAAGAGAGAGAGAGAGAGAGAGAGAGAGAGGTGAAAAGTTGCTCTGTTCACAGAGGTTCTTTAGTCTGAGACATGTAGCTCTATATTAACAGGGTACACAGTCCCTTATTACTCTCAACGGGTATTTTCTGAAATACAGTTGGTCTTCCATGTCTGTGAGTTGTTAGCTTTTTAATTCTTCAGATTGGAGATATTTGAAAAAAACTGTTACTTGAAACTGAAGTTGTACAAACTTATCATTTCCTACTAAACATAGAACTATGGTATTTACATATTCTTTACATTGCATTTAGGTATTATAAGTGATCTAGAGATGACTGGAAGTATTCAGGGAGGACAAATAATACACCATTTTATACAAAAGATTTGTTCATCCTCAGATTTTGGTATCCACTAAGGGTTTTGGAACCCATTCCCCAGGGCTACTGGGGAACGACGGTCTTGTCGTAGATTCTTATAAAGTGACTGAACATATTGGGATATGGTTATAGAAGAGAAGCTGCATCTGGTGACGGGCTAGCAGAGAGTACTAGCTGACAATATAATTTCAACTTGTGAGCTTGCCAACTCGTGAAACATTTTCAGCTAGAAGTCATCATGAAAAATAATTAAGTCTCTCAGCATGGGAACACATTATTCAAGCATATGTTTCTTGTTTTAGTAACTCACAAGAGAAACTCATGTGAGCAAGCAGCGCAGGCATGATGTCTTTGACAAACCCTGCATCTCGGGGTTAAGTCATTCCTTAGCACCATTCACCTAATTACAGGAAACAACGATTCAATTTTCCAAATAATTACCTACCCATGAGAAATTTCTAAGTTTGAGCACTTTTATTTATTAAACTACATTAAACATAATTTCTCTATTTTAGAAGAGTACTTTTCAGTTAAGTAGGCTTTTAAATGAGCTTTCATTATAATATTTTTAGCAAATTTCAATAATTTTTTGACAAAAAGACTAATGCCCTCCGGTATGGGTCATCAGACCACAGTCACTTCAAACTTTCTAGGAAAAGATAGAACAAATTTCAGGAGCTGTTTTTATAAAATGACTCTCCGTGGCATTCAAAAATGTCTCTTACTTTTTATAGATTTCACATATAAGTGAGCTCATGCATTATTTTCTTTCTGTATCTGGCTTACTCTTAGCATAATGTCCTCTAAAGGTCTAAAAACAAAGGTCAAATATAAAGAGAGAGAAAAGAAATGGGAGAAAATATAAAGAGAGAGAAAAGAAATGGGAGAAGAAATGGGGGGACAGTATTCAAGGTAACCTACAGGTAGGTTGAACAAGCCTAAAGATCTAATGTACAACGTAAGAATATAAATAAAATTATGTTGTATTAGGGATTTTTAAACAAGGTGATTTAAGCTGCTCTTGTCACACAAACAGTAACTATGTGAGATGATGGCTATGTTAATCTGCTTCACTACAGTAACCATTTAACTGTATGCATCCCAAAGCATCAAGTTGTAAACCTCAAACACAGACAGTAAAGTTATTTCTTTTTAAAAGTCTCTCTTTACACACACAAAAATAGCCTATTCTTGAAAAATTAATTGGAATATTCACCTCAGTGTCATTAGCTAGACATCCAGATGAGTACAGTGATGTTAGGCATAATGAATTTTAGCAGAAAAAACACCACAGAAATTATTCCACAGTCTTTTGTTCAAAAAGAACTAAAGGCTCAGAGAGGTTAGGAAACTTACTTAAGTGCCTTTAACTATTCACCCAATAATCATATAAGTTAATAAATCAACAATTAGTTAAGCAACCATTGTCTAAAATAGAGAAATTTAAAAACTATATAGTATGATAATGATCTTATCTTGCCTTGAAATGAGTTTCTTGCAAGATTTATGTAAAACAAAAATTACTCAAGAGAATTTAGAAACATAAATGTAACTCAAACAATGTGACATAGGGCACAAAAAGGACAGGATTATTGAAGACACAACTGGAGTTTGGTCAGGAGGGCTACAGGTTAGTAAAGCACGATTCTTTTGAATTCCAGTTCACACAACAGTATGCTTTGGGAACTCAGAAAGGAGCTTAATAGGGTATTGTGTCAAGAGACAAATAGCAGACCTCTTTCCAGTGATGGTCAGGAAACGCTTAGCATAATGTACTTATTTAGTGATAAATACTTTATTTGAAGTTGTCACCCAATTTACAGGATTTGGTAGAGTCTGCCCTGATGGGAAATAAAAGCCTTTAAGGGATAATGATGGCTGTCTTCTGACATATTAAAGATCCTAAAAGATAATGAAAAAACTTCCTGTTTGCCACAGAGCAGAAAAAGGAGCATTTCCTAGGACCAAAAATTTCAGACTTCAAAAAAACAGGAACATTCAAAACCATCTAAAAAAATGAAAAAAAGGGGAGTTTTCAAACAAAGGCTAAATGATCATTTACAGTAACAGTAAGTATGGAGCCCAAAATTCAACCCCCAGTCCATTAAAAATTATAGGTAATTAGTTATCTAATGGGGAAAAATAATATAGATTTTTACTCCATTCATAGAACAAAACAAGTTTCAAAGGTATTAAAATAACAAACACAGAAACATACTAACAGAAGAATTTATACATAAGATTAAGAGTTTACAAAGAAAGCACCAAAGAGCCTTTCTAAACTACAGAGTAAATAATATGATAAACCAGTGTTTAAAATAGTGGTTATCTTTGAATTTTGGGTCATAGGAATAATATACTGCTATCATGTCATGGCTGACATTATATATGGAAATCCTTTGTTTCAATAGTTTAGCTTATTTCATTAACAACATTAACCAATAATATTGAAACCCACATACAATGATGAGTTCTCATTTATTTACCCCTACCACATTTCTACAGCATGCATTATTTCTCCAATAAATTTAGGACAGCTATACTACTATAATCAAAGTCAGTGTATCCTTGAGGAATTCTTAAGAATTTCGTGGACCCATCTCTCCATGGCTCATAGTGCCAATCTTAGTTGTTGAAAGACTGCTGTAAGAAACATGTAAATGTGAAACCCAAATTTTCTCTAAAAACACAAATCAAACTAAAAATGACCTGAGGCAAAACAGTAGGTATTTTTCCTTTTGTCTATAAGACTCCTTAAAAGGGGAGAAGCCTAAAATAAAATGTTAATTTTAACTAAATTGCAAAAAGCAAAATCTTGAACAAAACTCCGATGAATTTAGCATGAAACATAGCTTCATTGTATCAAGAAAGGAAATTACTGATAAAAATGCAATAACCACAAATGTAACCTTTTATGCATATTTATGAACCTTATAAATATATATGCCAATTAATACAATTACGTGTTCCTTGTATGTAGAATAGAACCTGCTGTCAACAGAGACATAAATTCACAAAAGTGAACTGAATCCAGGTATAATGACACATGCCTGTAATCTCAGTACTATGGAGACTGGCAGAAGGATCACAAGTTCAAGGCCCACCTTGGCTATATATAGCAAGACCCTGTTGCAAAGACCCAAAACAAACTAAGAGAAGTAAAAATATACTGTGCTAGAAGTACATTACATTTCAAATAATAGTATCATTTGGCCATATACATTGATATTTCTCAGAATCAAAATGTTATAAAATCATAAGCCTCTTCATCTTAGTTCTCAAACATAAAGCGCAATACTATCACACATGATTCAAATAATCATCTGGTAGTGATTATTGGTAAAGCAAGTAAAAATACCTGGGAGATGCTTTTGACAAAAGAGACTAAGGAAAGAGTTGAATTTACTGTATATGAAAAACCTACAATATGCAGAACAGTCTGGTATTAATGCAGATCAGTAGAAAAAAACCCTCAAATATGAATTTACTGCATG